GTTGGCGGAGGACAAGGCACTGCCGAGGATGGGGTGCACCTGGTGCACAGTGCCGGCGGCGTGGGGAGGGTGCCCGGTGGAGTGTCCCACCGTGCCGCAGTGAAAGGCCGAGTGGTGCCCCCCGTAGATTTCCCCGACCAGCCTCTTCATCTCCTCCAGGGAGCTGGTGAGCATCAGGATATAGTTTCTGGCTAGCAGTAAGGTGGCGATTTTGGAGAGTTTTCTCACGGAAGGTCCGTGGGCGTAGGGCATCACCTCCCGCAGTCCGTCCATGGCGAGGTTGAGGTCATGCATCCTCTTACGCTCCCGACCGTTGATCTTCAGCCGCAGCTGCTGCAGGTCCTGCTCCGAAAGCTGCTTCTTGATTTTGTACTTGCTACCTTCCCCTCCGGCCTTGGAGCCGTTCCTGGTGAGGCCTTCTCCGGACATCTTCTGCACCAGGTCGTTCTGGGTGGAGGAGACAGAGTTGAGCCGGCTGTCTTGGTGGTGGTGATGGTGGTGGTGGTGGTGGTGGTCTCTCAGATACATCTCATCCATGTCTGGCGAGGAAGCTCTGCTGGAGACAGAGCTGGAGTCAGAATTCATTGTATTCAGGCTTCTGAGCAAGAAACTCTTCCCTGCTCTGGAGGTGGTGGAACAAGACCACTCTCCTTCAAAAAGAAACAAAAACGAAGCAAAAAAGAAGTAAACGGACGGCAGGATCTGCCAGCGAAGGGCTGGAAACGGAGGAAGAAGAAAAAAGCCCCTCAGCCCCCTCTCTCTTCAATCTCTCTCCTCTCTCTCTCTCCCCCCCGGTTACTCAGCCTGTTTACAGGATGGCTAGTTAGTGTATGCTTGGACTAACCTCAGCCTGAAAAAGAGGGGCTTTTATAGAGCTGCAGCAGAGAGCAGAGACAAAAGGAGCCCTCCTATGTATAATGGTCTAGTTAGGATGACGTGCCATTATTCAGGGCGGTGCGCTTTGACTGTCCCATTTAGCAAGGACCCCTATTCATATTCATTGTGGTGCCACCCGGGACACCTCAGCCATGGACCATCAGGAGTCAAGGAGACACAAAACCCCTCTGATTGACACCACACACTCATCGCTCCGTGTGCGCTCCTTCTCCTCCCCCTGCCCCCTCATTTCCAATATAAAACCTCATCCCGTCTACAGTAGGAAGGCAGGGGGCTGCGAAGGGCTGCGCGCCTGCTCGGGGCCGTCCAGGAAACCCCAGTGGCGGGCGGCAGCGGGCAGGAAGCCCGGGGAAGTACCCCCGCTATGGCAGGAGGAGAGGACGTTGGTCGCCCCCGTCCTGCAACATGCCCGGCTCCAGCCGGGGCTCCCCGCTTTGTTTGCCTTTTCCTCCCCCTCCCCCTGTCCTCCCCGGCCGGGG